TGCTCATATAAAGCCTGCCATTCTTTCTGGGCTTAGTTCTGAGATCTTCCTAAACATTGCTAACCCAGCAATTGATTTATCCTGAACTACTTAGCCTTTACCATCAACTAATGCATTCTGTTCTTCCCGTTAACCTTATAGCATTTTGCCATTTTGTTTTTCTTTGATTTTTCTGCTCTGAAATTGTCTTGGCAGTTCCTTGAGGAACAAGTTTTCCTCAGTTTCTCTGTATCTTTTCTCAAAGGCAACCATTGTCTCAGAAAGTCAACATTTATTGAGCATTTATTGAGTACCATATTCTTTTCTAGTTTCGTATAACTTCGTATAATGTATGCTATACGAAGTTATTACGATGTTCTATCTTCCTGCCTTATAAGTGCCATTTTAGGCACTAGGGGGGAAGATAGAATATTAAACAAGGTACATTACTTGTTTCAGATATTTCCAGTTAAAATTGTTTGAACACTTGCCCCATAGATGATGCTGAATAATCCCCTATTTGCTGGAAATCCTCAGCTTCAAGAACAAATGAGACAACAGCTCCCAACTTTCCTTCAACAAGTGAGTAAGAAAAGATGCTAGCTGTCTTTGGTAATGATTTGCTTGAAAAAGTTTGATGATAAACATTTTCCTTGCTCTTCTCTGGCTGATAGCAAAATAGGAGTTTGATAATGCTGCAATTCAGAGCCCCATTTCACTGCTGACCTTTTGCTTATATTTCTTAAACATAAACTGAGGAAAGAACCATTTTGATTTTGCTTTTGAGGACTTAGGATTTTGAATGCTCTGTTAATACCATAAACCATTTCCTTTCACTTTACTAACTTTGAAGTGCTTCCCTGTGTCATGTTACGCTTTATGGTTTAACTAATTTCAAGTAACAGGAAAGAGCTACCCTATCCTGTTTTACAGGTTTGGTTTCTTTGAAATGTTTTTATTTCTTCCAGATTAATGAATACCTATTTTCCAAGGGGTAGATCTCATTTCCTCAAACTTGGAATTAGTAAAATTAAAATTGTGTCAGGAAGGTTTTATTATTAAAAAATACTTGAGATTGCCATGGTATTTTATTATTTAAAAATATAAAAGAGAAGTCAGTTTTGGTGTTTTTGAAACTGGTAGTTCTAGGGCTTTACATATTATGCAAATGGTTCTCAGGCCTGTAAACCATTATCCAAGGTTAGTGTCCTGGATCTATTGTTATGTAAGCCTGTCTTTTTTTGCTCAGTCAGGTGGTGTATATTTGGAAGTAGTGAAGCTAAACTTGGGAAACATATTAACTTCAAATTTGGAACTACTGTTTTAGAGCGTACCTTATTTGTAAAATTGTTACATCAGTGATAGATAACACTTGGTCAGGAGGAATATGTGTCTTTCACCATATTACCATGTCATGTAAATTGTGCATTTGGAGGTTGTTTTCTTATTGTTTTATTATTAGAAATAATACTTTATTTTGTGTTGGAGAAGGGGAATAGTTGTGGCTTCTAGAGTAGCTCCTGATTGTCTTCCATTATGAAAATGGCCTTCATGATGGACTTAGAAGGAGGCCAAGCACACTAGGTTTGCTGTCAAAGAGGAGGTGCTTGTGTTTATTTTGGGAAAGAAATTATGGATTACCGGTGTCCAGGAGTAAGGTTTTAGATTTTTTCCAGAAACATAGCAAAGAAAAGATTTAAAAATTTACCTTCACTAATTTTAATTCCCTTGTAACCCCTGGTTTTCTTTCTTCCTTAGATGCAGAATCCTGATACACTATCAGCAATGTCAAACCCTAGAGCAATGCAGGCCTTGNGAAACATAGCAAAGAAAAGATTTAAAAATTTACCTTCACTGATTTTAATTCCCTTGTAACCACTGGTTTTCTTTCTTCCTTAGATGCAGAATCCTGATACACTATCAGCAATGTCAAACCCTAGAGCAATGCAGGCCTTGTTACAGATTCAGCAGGGTTTACAAACGTTAGCAACTGAAGCTCCCGGCCTCATCCCAGGGTAGGTTTATTTGGGGACAATTACGAAAGTCTATAACGGTCACTTTCTCTGAGAATTTCTAATTTAATATTATTCTGCTTTATTGTTGTTGAGATTGTTTTTAAGTCAGTTTTCTAAGTTAAAAATGCTTATTTTAAGAAGATAGCTTAGCTAGGGGCCGGCCCGGTGGCGCACTGCTACAGTGCGCCGCTTGGGAGCGCGGCGGCGCTCCCGCC